TCTTTTCCTAGTCTGGTTTATTCTGGAAGCTCAGCTTAAACTTGTCCACCACGGGTGACCGTCTGATATTCAAAATACCATTGGCATAGCTTCCAGCATCATAGGATCCTGCCAGCCACCACAGTATAACACATTGACAGACATGTGATTGATAGGCTCATTAGTGAATCAAAATTTATCCTCCATCTTTGATTTCCATGACAATTGTTGCCAACAGTTATTCATTGAGCAATAAATTCTGTGGCCTCATTGTAATGTGTTTTCAGTTTCTAAATCTTATTTTTACTTTTTTTGTTAAAGGAAAGTTTATTGAATGTCTAATATGTTAACAATTTCTTGAATTTGACTTGTTCCCAAACAGACACTGAATACAAGATTTGTCTGAAGGCTGTTCTTAGGTTCAATTCTTTAGAAAGCAAAATCAGTGAAACATATATGCATATATAAAGATCAGTTTATGTCAATGGATCACACAAGTTTATATCAATGCAGAGGCAGGAGAGTCCCAAGTCTGGGTTAGGTGACTGAAGGTCAGCCAGCAGGGCACACTAGCAGGCAGGTGTGGCAGGCAGGTAATACAGCAGGTCACTGCCTCAAGGTCAAAGTGCCAGAGGTTGGAGGATGAGCCAGATGCAAGACCCAGATCCAGCAGAGAGCAAGCAAGCTCTGTCTGAGTGTCTATTAGATGAGTTCTAATGATGTCACTTGGCTTTCCAACCAGAATAGTCTACATTCCAGAGGCCCAGTGTGGGGGTTCTGCCAATTGTTGAGTATGTTGATTCTGACTATATGTTCTGGAACTAGGGAAATGACTACAGGATTTGTTTGGGAACATACTGGACCCACTGTAAGATGGAACTTAGCTAAGACTCCATTAGTAACTTGACTTCCATACACCCCCCACTGTGACTAATGGACCACAGAGATGTTTTATTCTCCTGGAATTTGTGTCAATTCAGAGCCACTGTCCAGTAAGCCCCACAAAGTCTGATTATTTCCTTTCTCCCAAGGAACTCTTTTAAAAGTGTGTAAATCCCTTTGGTTTTCAAGGGACTGTGAGTTTGTAAACTGGCTCAAATTTAAGAACTGATTGAGAAGCCATGACTCTTCTCTGGCAATTCAAATTAGACTTTCACTTGACCTAGAATTCTTCCTCTTGTACAGATCAAGTAAATATTTAGTAGGTTTTCCATCTATTTCTCTCCCAGACCCAGCAGGGAGCCAGCAAACTTTGGTTGAGTGTCTAATATATTGGAAGCAGGCCACACCTCCAAAGAAACATCTTTTCAATTGATTGGCTGCTCATAGCAGAACTCATCCTAGAGTTTATTATATTTTATATCTCATTTTGGGGCTAACTACATATCAACTGCCCAACCACTGAGAATTCTGCCCCAGTCAAGTTGACACAAAACCTTAACTATCAGAGTTGTTTATTTGGCATGTGATTCCAGGAAATACAAAAAGTTAATGCTATTCAAAAATAACAATGTGATGAAAGTAATTGTTCTAGATATAAAACAGGGCTTTGAACCAGTTCAAAATGTCATAAACAAGGATGGTGTAGACGTTGCATTGCAGTCAGATCTGTAGCCTGTTGTATTTTGATGTAAGCAGGAAACAGTTGTTCTCTCTATAGTCCTCCTAAAAAGTTCTGCCACTATCCTTTCTCCTGAAAGTTTCAGGAGCTTGAAGAGGGAGATTGGATTATTGGTAGGACTCTGGACAGCAACACTCTGGAATGTGAACTAAGGCCTATTCTGATTGGAAAGCCAAGTGAAGTCATTAGAACTAATATAATAGACACTCACTCAGACAGAGTTTGCTTGCTCTCTGCTGGATCTGTGTCTTGGCTCATCCTCCAAACTCTGGTACTTTGGACTTGAGGCAGTGACCTGCTCTATTTACCTGCCTGCCACACCTGCCTGCTGTGTGCCCTGCTGATTCACATAAGCAAGATTGGCTGCCATCTTTGAATTGGCACAGATGTTTGTTTTCTACTATCATGGGCAACAGATTCTGTTGCTATGCAATGCACATGCTTAAGAAGACAATTACTGGACTGTTTTGAATGAGTTCAAAACCAAAAAACTGAAATCTTTTTAAGAGATTTAACCATATGCAATGTATGAACCTTGATTGAATGATTGAATCCTAGTTTTTAAAAAGACAGCATAAAATATATTTTGGTTCACAATTGAGGAAGTTTGAACATGGACTGGATAATCAGTATGTTGTAGTTGTTATTATAAAAGTGTGGGTCAGTTTCGACCCATAGCGACCCTGTATGGGGTTTCTGAGGAACAACTGGTGAATTTGAACTGCAACCTTACAGTTCAAACCAACCTTGTGGTCAAGTGCTTATCAGGACTTTGGGTAATCGATATAGGGAATTATAAATTGTTTAAAATTTGCATGGTGGGTCCTATTGCTCCTCAGAAACACTCTAAGGGTTGTTACCAGTTGGAACAGACTTGGCAATACTTAACAACAACTTGGGATTACAAACTGTGTATTCTTCAAATTACACCAGGCTTCTTGTGGCTGACACAGCAGGTGTGTCTTTACATCCACTGTCACACAAGCTGTGCCTTCTTCCTCACTAAAAACATCTCAGTTCTGCTCTAGGGTTAGGGGGCCATGGACCAGAAGGAAAGCAGGCCCTTTCCCAGTCCAAGGGGTGAATCTGCTATTATAAAGAATGTTAGGTAATAATCAGCCATAGCCACTATCTAGATTCAATGAACATTTAACATTTTCCATGTTTGCTTTAGCCTGTGTGTGTATATATATATGAGTGTGTTTGATGAATCGTTCAAAACTAAATCCTAAATACTTTCAGCACACATCTTCTAAGAATAAGGACTCTCTTACATGGCTTTATTACCACTATCACAACTAAGATAATTTAAAAATATTATAATTTCCTATATTAGTTATACAGGCTGTGTTCAAACTTCTTCAGTTGTTCCCAAAATGTATTTTAGATTGTCTTTCAAGAAACTAGGATTCAGTCATTCAATCAAGGCTCACACACTGCATTCGGTTAAATCTCTTTTTAAAACATGTAGTCCTAAACAGAACATCTGAAATATAAGCTGTGTGACCTAAAATTATAGTTTTAGCTTCTTTGACTTTCAGTTTTCTCTTCTGTGAAAGGAGAATGATTTCACTTAGATGAAAACAACACATGATATGGAAGATAGTTTAATCAAGGGAGGGTATCAGCCTAGCACTTAACCTTCTGCACCACCAGGGCGTGACCTTAGGCTCGTTAGGTCACTGTGTGGTGCAACAGTTGAGTGCTTGACTGTTAACTGTGGGTAGGTGGTTAAAATCTGCCAGCAGCAACAGGAGAGTAAAGACCTGGTGATGTGTCCCTATAAAGGTTCAACAGGGCTGACGAAACTTTTTTCTGCCAGGGGACATTTGGATATCTATAACATGATTCAAGGGCCATGCAAAATTATCAACTTAAAAGTTACCATGCTATATTTGGTCAAATATTTAATCTGGCAACTATGAGGGAGTAACTTCTGTGGCAGGCCACCTGGAGAGGGATGTAGGGTGTGTGCCCCACTGACCCACATTCTCTCCCAGCCAACAGTGACAGACAACTGTCCTCCACAGCCCAGTTTAGAAATTTCAGCCTTTATTAGTTTAGTTGTACAAATTCCATTAATCTGCCAATAATCAGATTTGCTTATTATTATAATCATCAGATTATTATATATTTATTTGATTATTGAATTATCAAATCTGTTATTACCTTAGTTGTACAAGTTCTATTAATCTGCTAATAACCAAATCTGTTGTCCCTCAGGCACTAGCAAAATTCTGTAGTGAGGAGTCCTTGGTCCGTTCCTTTGTGTTGGAGAACTGCTAGGGAGTAGAAAAGTCATTTCTTCAGACTTGATGACCCCAGGCTAGCCTCACACCAGCCAAGGAACTTCCTGTGAGGCAGTGTGGCCAATGAACTGAATAGCTAAGACTTCATCATCAGCAAGACAGGGTTTACAGTTCTCATTCTACACAATGCTCAGCAGTTTGGCCTTGGGCAATGCAAAGAAACTGAGTCCTAAACAGTGACTCCCCTGTCCCTTGTAACGACTTTGGTCTCTATGCATTTGCTTATTTTGGATATTTTATACAGTATTTATCCTTTTGTAGCTGAGTTGCCAGAGAAGGTAAGAAGTAGGAGTATCTGGTCTGCTTTCTTTACCATCTCTCTTCAGTTTCTCCCTTCAGGTTTAGTCCAGGGTCTTGGTTTTACAGGATTGGGGATGGCAAGAACATTCATAACATAAACATAAGGCACCTACCATATGACCATCAGTGTGGGCACATAAAGAGCTCATCGCTTTGTTTCTTTTTCTTTTCTCAAACTGCTTGACATCTGGTTGAGAAGATAAAATTACTAATCTCTGTAAATATTTCATCTACTTAAATCATAAAATGATTGTAAAGCCACCGGCACAATTCTTTCTCAACAGAATAAAAATGGTTTGCAGTGTGGAGGCTACCTTGTGGAGATTGGAAATGTGTCACCTCTCTTGAGTAACCAGAATTAGCTCCATCTTAGAGGACAACTCAGATTGGCAAGTTTCTTTCCTGCCTCAGTTTATCATCACCTCTTATGTAATAAAAGTGATCCCTCACTTATGGTCCTGTGAAGGAGGACCGTACCTGATACCAGGCTTTCTCCAATAGCTGGCCCAGCAGACGTGACTAGTAACCTTCCATTTAAGTTGGCACTTCGTTTGTTTTTCTCTCCATTCCATTACTCTCCACTTACTCTCTTCATTTGCCTATGAAATCTTGACTCTGAATACAGATCACATGAAGTGAAACCAATATTAAGGTTATAAAAATAGGGTATCTTCTATTACACTCTAAAGGCAGAAGTGGTGGTTGGTGAATCAGAGGGTGAGGGGTGTAGGTGGGCCTCTGAGTGCTACCCACTGGGCTCACTCCCCCTCCAGTCCTCTGTTAATGTCAGCTCAGTGTGACCAGATGGGTTTTCTCTTCTGGATGAAGGCCTTGATTCCCTCCTGGCCATCCTGCAGGGCCAGGTTGTCCACCATGGTCTGGGAGGTGAGGCAGTAGGCTGTCCTAAGGTCCTGGGGTAGCTGCTTATAGAAGGCAGCTTTGCCCAAAGACACCACGGGGCGGCTCAAAGAGGCAATCTTCTTCGCTATCTTCATGGTCGCTTCCTCCAGTTGCTCTTCGGGCACTACTTTGCTGAGCAACCCATGGGACAAGGCCTCCTGAGCAGAAATGGGCTCCCCAGTAAAAAGCATTTCTAAGGCAACCTAAGGCGGAAAAACAAGGGAGATTATTAAGACACTCTCCTTGTAACTCATTGCCACCTAATTCCACCTTCTCCATTTCACTCTGCTGAGGCGGTCTGTATCCTGACTCACCTACAACCTCAGCCCAACTATCTGCTTCCTCAGGTAACATGTCATCCATCACCCCTAACATCTTTGGTACCCTGACTCCTGCCAGGAACAGGATCGGATCTTTCCAAGAGCAAAGAAAATACAAGGACAAACTCTCTTCATGTTCTCCACAGATCTGATCACCAGCTCCCGCTGAAGCAGGAGATTTGATCCATCTCTTATCTATGGGCCAAGCACAGGGCATCAGCCCATCAGATAGGATGAAACTGCAAACCCTGCAGCCGTGAAACCCATTATCACCACCACCACCCCCGAAGTCCCCCCAGCTACACACACACCACCTGAAAAACCAATGTAGTAGCTACTTCCCAGAATGAGAACATTTTCACAGGTGCCCTCAGTTCAGCCAGATTCAAAAGCAAAGCCTCCAATATTACAGAGAAGGAGGGGGATTTCATGGAAATGTCTTCCAGGGATCAGAAGTAGAGCTGAGCATGACTTTTCCTTACTAATAACTTAGAGGTGGCAAGGAGAAGATGCCCTCTTTCCTCCCATAACCCATATCTCCCCTCCTTCAGCTTTTTAAGCATGCAGAGAGAAGTGCATCTCCCTCATTCTGTATGGTTTCTGCTCTTTTAAAAGCCTGCCATGTATTGTGCTCTAGCTCTGTTCTGTGGTTATTCAAAGCCTGAGTTCTCTAAACTCAAATTTACGATTAAAGAAGGGGTGTTCAGGTGCACAGTGAGCAAACAAGGTCCAGAGGTACCTTTCCTTCTTTCTAACCCTGGTAGCATCCTTACAGTTCCTTGAACATGCCAAGCATGCTGTCACTCGGTAGTTTGATACTTGCAGTTCCCTCTGTCTAGAATGAACCCTGGCATGGCACTGTAGGATAAATACTGGCCCACTAACCACATAGACAGTGGTTCAAACTCACCAACCACTCTTGGAAACCCTATATAGGGTACCTATGTCAGAAGCGACTCAGCAGCAGACAGCTGTCTAGATTGCTCTTTCCCAGATGCCTTATGGTTTCTGGCCTCGTCTCTTTTGTCACTTCATATTGAGGTCCCCCAGATCTATTTGATTTAAATTGTAAAACAAACTCCAGCACTATTCCTTTTCTATTATAATTGTATCCTTTCTACTTTTCTCCATTTCACGGACTACATAGTTTACATGTGTATTTGTTTATTGTAAATCTCCTCTACGTGTATAGGGAGTCCTGGTGTGGCACCGTAGCATAAGCACTCCACCTGAAGGTCGGTTTGAACTGGCAAGGTCGATGGTTCAAACTCACCAACTGCTCCTTGGAAATCTGATACAGTGTCGCTATGAGTTGGAATCGACTCGATGGCACTTAAAAACAACAAAAAGCATGTCTAAGGCACCCTGATGATGTAGTGAGTTTTGAGTTGGACTGTGAACTGCAAGGTCAGCAGTTTGAGTCCACCAGCCGCTCTGCAGGAGGCAGATGAGGCTTCCTGCTCCCATAAAGATTCCCACCCTCAGAAACCCTATGCAGGGTGGATATGAGACAGAATGACTCGATGTAATGCAGCCACCACCACCAGCAGCATGCATACTCCCCAGAGCTAGGACTGACTGATTTGTACCATTTGTTCATGTCCTTATCGCCAGCACCAGAGGAGTGTCTTGAACATAGTGTTGTTTGTTAGGTGCCGTCGAGCCAGTTCTGACTCATAGCGACCCTGTGTACAATAGAACGATACACCGCCCAGCCCTGCACCATCCTCACAATTGATGGTATGCCGAGCCCATTGTTGCTGCCACTGTGCCTGTCATTCTCATTGAGGTTCTCCCTCTTTTTGGTAACCTTCCACTTTATCAAGTATGATGTCCTTCTCCAGGGACTGGTCCTTCCTGACAGTATGTCCAAAGTATGAAAGACAAAGTCTGGCCATCTTGGCTTCTAAGGAACATTGTTTGTTGTACTTCTTCCAACTCAGATTTGTTTGTTCTTCTGGCATTCCATGGTACTTTTAATAGTCTTCTCCAACACCATAACTAAAATGTATCAATTCTTCGGCGATCTTCCTTATTCATCGTCCAACTTTCACATGCCTATGAGGCTACTGAAAATACCATGGCTTGGGTCAGGCGCACCTTAGTCCTCAAAATAACATCATTGTTGTTGAATACTTTAAGTCTTTTGCAGCAGATTTGCCTAATGCAATATGCTCTGTAATATCTGTGGCCTATCCACCCTAGAACATGTTTTACTGATGAATTATTTCATGAATGAGTGAATGATGGCAAATAGGGTACAGCAAAAGTGATGCTATAGTTCTTCAAAGACCAGGTACCTGGCTCTTTCTCTTGGGATGCTCAGTGTTGGGACCCAGCTTGCATGTTGTGAGGAAACCCAACCTTCTTTGAGAGCCTCAGATAAGTGTTCCAGCTAACAGGCTCAGTTCAGGACCCAGCTGCGAGCCAGCATCAACAGGCTGACATGTGAGTGAACGAACAAGTCTTCAGATGATCCCAAGTCCCGGCTGTCACTCCTCTCGTCTTGAAGTCTTCCCAGCGCAGGCCACAGACATTGTAGAATGGAGCTAAGCCTTCATCACTGAGTCCTGTACACATTGAAGATTCATGAGCTAAAGAAATGACTGTTGTTGCTTTCAGTCTTTAGGTTGTGAGTAGTTTGTTGTGCAGTAGTAACTAACTGGAAAAAGTTTGAGATGTAAATTTAGGAGACATTGGCATTGAAATCAAGGTTTCTCAATCTCAGTATTACTGACATTTTGCACCAGAGAGTTCTTTGTTGTGGGAGGTTGTTCTGTGCAGTATAGGGTGGTGACCATCATCTCTGGCCTCTACCCACTAAATATCAATATTGTTCCCACTGCTCAAGGAAGCAGCAGTCAAGAAATCAAAAGACGTATTGCATTAGGCAAATCTGCTGCACAAGACCTTTTTAAAGTGTTGAAGAGCAAAGATGTCAACTTGAGGACTAAGGTGCGCCTGACCCAAGCCATGGTGTTTTCAATAACCTCATTTTTCATATTCATGCAAAAATGGACAGTGAATGAGGGAGACCGGAGAAGAATTGATGCTTTTGAGTTATGCTGTTGGAGGAAAATATTGCAAGTGCCATGGGCTGCCAAAAGAACCAACGATCTGTGTTGGAAGAAGTGCAGCCGGAGTGCTCCTTGGAGGCCAAGATGGCCAAACTTTGTCTCTCATACTTAGGACATATTGTCAGGAGGCAGGATATCATGCAGAAGGATATCATGTTTGTTAAGGTGAAGGGTCAGAGAAAAAGAGGAAGACCCCCAACGAGATGGATTGGCCAAGTGGCAGCATTGATGGACTCAAGCGTGGCAACAGTAGAGAGGTTGGCCCAGAATCAGGCAGTGTTTCATTCTGCTGTGCATAAGGTCGCTATGGGTCAGTACCAACTCGATGGAACCTAACAACAACAACAAACCTGACTTGTGACAATAAAAAAGTTCTTCCAGACCCAAAAAGCCCCACTGCCCTCAAGTTGATCCAGACTCATAGCGACTCTATATAGGGTTTTGAGGCTATAAATATTTATAGGAGCAGAGAGTCTCCTCTTTCTCGTGAGGAGCAAATCCGAGGTGGATTCCAACTACTAACATTGCAGTTAGCAGCCCAATGCAAACATAACCCATTACACCACCAGGGCTCCAGGCATTACTGAATGTTCCCTGGTGGCCAATATCATCCTCATTGCAGAACCACTGATTTAGATGGTTTGTAAAGCTAGGAGACTAGTGAGCACCATCTAGAGACTGAGCTTAGCTGGAGAAGAAGATACCAAAATCTAAGCCATTTGGCTTTCTTGCCAGCATGGACAAAAATGGAATCCCCACTGGACTGGCAGTCGGAGACCAGGTGCTGCTGGACCTAATCTTCTTCTCTATAAAATTTGGGAATTGGACTAAATCTCAAATCCCTTGTGTTTGGGAAATTATGATTTTATGTTGGAGGGAGCAGGAGCATGATATCTCATGGAGGGGGTCACTTCAGAGAAGACCATTTTTGAGTTGATCAGGAATAGGATTGACACTCCATACTTTTATTTATTTATTTTTTTTAAGTTTTTATTGTGAATTGAATGAGGGTTTACAGACAAGATCATCCATTTTGCATTCAACATATCATACACTTTGTTGTTGCATGAAGGGAACTACAATCATTGAGAGGAAGCGAAGTGTGTGGTTTGTTGAATGTAAAATGGATGATCTTGTCTGTAAACACTCATTACAACCAGAGCTCAAAAAACAATAAAAACAAAAAATTTGAACGTTTTTTTACATTCTGTTTTATATAAATTAATTTACTTTTATATACTTTTAAACTTTTTATTGTGACTTGAGTAAGGCTTTACAGACAAGATTATCAGTTTTACATTCAACAACTCATACACTTTGTTTCATTTCAATGATTGCAATCCCCTCCACGGAATAACAGTTACCCCACTTCTTCCCAGTGGTTCCGATTTCCATTCCAGCTACCTCCCCATCTCTTCTCAACTTTATCCTTAGGCACATGTTGCCTCTTTGAACCACTGACCATCCCACTGTTAACATATCTCACTACTGTTATTGTCCCCCAGTATACCTATCTGCTGAAAATTGAGCCATGAGGGTGAGGTCCTTTCTATAGCATTTTTCTGAAGCTCCTGGCTGAACATGGAGCTGAAACCCAAGACCTACTGCTCAAGATCTGATGAGATCCTGCCACAGATAACCAGTAAGTACCAGTGATGGGACCAGGCCCACTTTCTGCCCCCTCCTTGCCCCAACCAAGGATCAAAAGTCTGATCAGAAGCCAAGGCAAAAAAAAGGAGTCACCAAGCCCCTTCTTCTCCTCCTTTAATAAAGGTGGCTCTCAGGGAGCTGGTGTAGACCACATGC